GACTGCTCAGAAGGCAAAACAAAAAACAAAAAAAAAAACGGAAATCCGCCCCCTACCCCTGCTTCCAGGCACAGCCTGGACCTGTCTCCCTATCCTGCTGCCTGGGCTGACAGCTGGCAGCTCACACAGAGGAGCTGGACCAAAGCTGTGTTGGTCAGCTGCTCCCATCCTGACACCCTGCTGCCTCTGACCCCTCTTCCATGCCAGCTCTGACTCTGGGTGCCCCATGCTGCCCGGTGTGCTCCCCAGGGCCACCTGGGCCTGTTCCCTGTTTGACGTTTCTTTTTTGTCTCTCTCTTTTTTGTCTCTCTCGGTGTGGGCTTTCCTGCCTGGGAAGCACACTCACCGTAGGTGAAGAAGCTCGGCAGGTAGAGGACCTTCCTCCCCAGCACATTGGTCCCAATGGTGGGGGGCATCGGCTCATGACCTACCTTCAGAATCAACAAATACAAAGGGAAAGTCAGATTCTACTGTTGATTCAGTCTCACTACTTCTCACCTTTCCCAGGCCTCTAACTCTTCTCCCACAGAGTCTAATGCTATTTCTGTTGATGTTTTCCCCATCAAAACATACCCAAAATTTCATCAGTGTCTATTACTATCAACATCGTGTAATCTCCCAATGCACAGAAATGTCCAGTCCCAGATACCACCCTTACCATAATCCAAGTCACCCCATCCCTCAACATTCTTACCTTCCAATTCCAGATATTTCCAGTGTAGAACCCCTCCCCCATGTTTATGTACTTCAAACCCCATGCTCATCTCAGAAAAAACTCTCAGTTAATTCTCATCGCCAGGTTAAAACATCCGTCCAGTCTCAATCTCAAATGTGGCAACACCAAAACACATCACACCCAAATCTCAGCCCCAAACTTCAGATAGCTCATTCACCCCACACTCAAATTTCTTACTGTACCCACTGCAGATGTCGACAAATCTGTCCCTCTCACTCCCAGCCACCTCGAATCCCAGCTGCTCCTCAAACAATTCCTCAACTGTGATCTAATCTTGATCACCCCATATCCCTGTGACAGAATGACCCCCTCATTTCTGCAGGGTTATCATAGTTCTTGCTGTATAGATGCTGGTTATAATTAAGGTATGTGTTAAACTCATGGGTGGGTGAAGGACCAAGCCACCCAAGCCTCTGTGAGGAGGAGAGGTTTCTCCTGAGGGGTGAGGCCATTTGTTATGCTGCCGATTAATGAGAAGATTCTCTGCTGCCAGGCAAGGGGCAAGGTGTCTAGGAGACCAGCGCCTTAGTGGGGTGTGAGAAGGCCCTTCCGTGGCAGGGGACCAGGGCCGTAGCCCTGTCCCTCAGAGCAGGCCAGACAAATCCATGGACCAGAGGAGCTCCTCTTGGATGTGGAAGAGGGTAGAAACAGCAGGATTGGGAAGCTCTGCCTTAAATAGAACTAGGTATGCTTCCAGCGTTTTCTGGGCTCAATTTCCTTTTTTCCTCACCTTAGTCAAGTGTTTTGAAGTTCAGGCTGTCCCTTATGGATGGGATTCTGAGCTACATGACAGATTACTGATCATAAATTAAGAAACTCCCTCCACGATGGAGAACTTCTTAAAAGAAAAACATCTAGCCCAGGGAAGTTGAAGGAAAGGGATGGCCAGGTGAACCAAGCAGTCAGCCCTCCCCTTCCAGACCTTTCCCCTTCTGGGTTAAAAGCTCGAAGGTTCTGAGGTTAGTTTTGCTTTGATTTTGTCCTCTCACACAGGCAGCATTCCATTTACACCCTCAACTCCAAGTCTGAGCCAATGTTCTTTTGCTGCCTTATCCATTCCAGTCACAACAACTGGGGAGGCCCATCGATTCCAATTTCACCCGTAAACCTGCTTGTTCCCTTCATCCTGTATCCCCATGGCTCCCAAATCTGTTGAGTCTATCTTCTTAACTTCCACCTGTGTTATCAAAGGCACGCTAACCCTATCTCACTTCTATTCCCTTCACTCTCAAGTTCTAATTATTTGTTCCCAAGTCTACTCACCCAATTTCATCCCCAAATCTGTTAACCCAGTCCTAACCACAGCCAAAGCTGTGGTTCTATACCATATACCGGCAGAGCCAGTCCCTCAAATCTCTAACACCCATGAGTCCTGATCTCAGGCACTGCATTCTTACTCACTTAATCGGGACAGCCCCCAGATCTGCCAATCCAATCCTGCCATGTACCCCCAAACTGAGATCTTCCTTTTTGCAAGATGTTATCTCTGATTCCCAAGCTATACACATTAACATTTCACCCTCAAGGACCTCCCTGGTGGCACAGTGGTTAAGAATCCGCCTGCCAATGCAGGGGACACGGGTTCGATCCCTGGTCCAGGAAGATCCCACATGCTGTGGAGCAACCAAGCCCATGCGCCACAACTACTGAGCCCGCGCTCCGCAGCAAGAGAAGCCACCGCAGTGAGAAGCCCGTGCACCGCAACGAAGAATAGCCCCCGCTCACCACAACTAGAGAAAGCCCGCGTGCAGCGATGAAGACCCAACACAGCCAAAAAAAAAATTAATTAATTAAAAAAAAAAGACTTCACCCTCAAATATGTTACACTCAGCACCAGCTGCGTTCACATCGGGTAGACCACCTGTCACCCCAACTGGGCTCACCCATCAGTATCCACCCCCCATACAGTTCTTCTCACCCTCTGGACTTCCTCATTCCCCAATTCCCTATCCTCCTTCATTCTCCATTCTCTCTCATTCCTCAACTGCCTTTCCAAGTGACCCTTATTTCAATTTTCTTCTCCTGTAAACCAAACCTACCAAGGTCCAAATGATGGAGCCACTTCCAGGTTCCTTCACATGGAGCACCCCCCCCATTCCTTGTACTCCAACATCCTCCATTCCACAGACTCCTATCAGCCACCCTGAAGTCCCAGCCCTCACCCAATCTCACTCCATCATCCTTGCTTCTCATCTCAAGTACCACCAGTTCCAAAGCCTCAATTTCTCTCCCAAAGCTGGCATCTCTATTGCTGCAAATACAACCTGAATTTTTATAAGTAAAGGAGCCCTCACTCCCAAATCACAACCAAACGCCAGTCTCGACCTTCCCCCATCAGCCATTTCCAAATCTCAGTCACGATTAGATTCTAGTCAGGCACCGTAATGTCCCTGAAGGAATCTCGTTCTTTGTCACGTTCCTTGTCACACTCCAAAATCCACTGCCCCCATTCCTCAGATTTCAATTACTCCTATTCTCAAGTCCCTCTCATTCCAACTGTATCTCCCATTCTCAGTCCATTATCAGGACAGTAAATCTGATACCCATTTGCCTCAACTCAAATCAAATCTCGTTTTGGTTAGGTCTCCATCTCAAACACCCCCCCCCCCGCAACTTAACTGAAAATTCTAGGCTAAATCTTCAGATATTAGTCCAAGCCCAAACCATCCACATCTACATTGTGCTCATCTCAGTCATGCCCACCTAATTCTGCCAAATGCACTCCCTCCACCTCAGCTCGGGCACCCCCTTCCAGTTCCATCTCTCCCTTTCTCAAGCAGCCCAATTCATCTGTAAGGCACTGCTGGTCCCACCAAATATGCCAAGTGCCCCTGCATGCCTCGATTCCAGAGACTTCCTACCATGGCCTCATTTTCTGCCAGCCCCTACACATCCTGCTACCCTGTGTTCCAACTGGTCCTTCTGCCCAATTCCACTACGCCCATACCCCTCAGCCCATCCCCCCATACAGCTCCCACCCCCAACCGTGAATTCAATGTTCTCCTCCAAATGCGTCATCCCTTTCCCCCTAAAAGCCTCCTGGCTCCCCATTCCAAAGAAATCACCACTACCCCTCCCCCACTGCGTCGCCCTATCTGTTCCCCTCCCCCAAAGCACGTCATCCTGTCCCCTCCTCCCATCAAATCTGTCGTCGCCATCAAATCCAGAGCCCCCATCTCCTGTAAACCGACTCGCCTCCGCCTCTCCCACCAAATTCCGTCACCGTTAAATCCAGTGCCCCGGTCCCCTCCTCCCCGGAGTCTGATGCCCCTTTTTCTTTCCTAAAATTTTGGCCATGACTCCCAGTCCTTTGTTCCCCCACCCCAAACCGCTTTAAATCCATCTCTATCAAATCCAGAGCTCTTGCTCCCCTTCACCCTAAATATGTGCTCATCTTCTGAATATTCTGCCTTGGCCCCCAATCTTCCTACCCACCCAATCGCCCAAACGTCCCACCCCTCCCCCAATTCTGTTGTTTTTTCTTTCACCCCAAAATGCTGCCACTTCCCTCCTAGTCCAAGTCCATCGCCTCCATTCTTTCGTCTCCCAAAGCTACCTCTCCGCTCCATCGCCCCCTCCCCTGCACCCCCAAATCCCTTGTTCCTTCCACCCTCTCCCAAATCTGTCGCTGACCCCTTTGCCCCCTTCTCCTGCATCCCCAAACCCATGCCCCCTGCATCCCCAAATCCCTCACCGTTTTCTTCCTCTCCCGCTCCTTCTGCGCACCAACCCGCCGTCCCCGCCCCTCTCCTCAAATCCGTCGCCATCGACTCCCCCACCCCCATCTTCCTCCAGATCCTGGCCTGTCACCTTCTTATCAGCCCCCACCTCCCTATGGCGCCCCTGGTCCCACACCTGGATGAGCAGCTTCACGTAGAGCAACGGGTGACTGAGCGCCGTCACTCCGGCGCCCAGCGCCACGAAAAGAGCCTCGGTGGTCGGGGCGTTGTCCCCGGAGCCCAGGCCCCCGGATGCGCCGTCCATCCTGCGCGCCGAGGGTTGCGCCGCAGGCCGAGGGTGGCGTGGATGTGCGCGGTGTGCAGGCGGCGGATCGCGAGCCCGGGCCTCGACCCCCGCCGCCGCTCCGCCGCGAGCTCCAGCTCCTGCTCCGGCTCCCGCCATCCCCGCGGCACCGCCGCGAGCCCAGGGCGCCACTTCCGGGTCGGAAGCCCCCATGGCAAGGGGCGGCGAGGTCACTCCCCCGTCATGTGACGGGACGGGCGCCTGCCCCTCGCGGCGTCAGGGGGCGGGGCCGGGCCGCACCACTCGCGGCCGCGGGGGAGTGCAGGAGTGTAGGCGAGGCGGTCGGTAAGCGATGGATGCGGTCCCCGGGCGGGGTCGGGTCCTGGCTCAGCGCTGGGGTGTGAGCCGGGGGTCAGTGGTCGCGGGCGACCGGGCCGTGGGTTCGGAGGCTGTGAAGGCGGCCGCAGGCCCGGGCGCTCCCCCGGGATCCCCGGAGAGCGGCAGGGGCGGGGCTCGTAGGTTCTGGAAGCCAGATGCCCCCAATATGGTCTGAGGCGCTTCCAATCCCCCACCCAGGCTTCGGGAGTTTTCTCCGCAGTTCTGGGCCCGCCTTTTTGCGGCCCTGTTCCCGGGCCCCGCTGCCTGCGAGGCTTCCCACTGCAGGCCGAGTCCCTTCGCGCTCGCCAGCCTTGTCTCACCCCTTTGCCCTCCCCACCACACCAAATCCATTTGCACCTCGAAGGTTGTGGTCCTCCTCCTTTGCAGTTGACCATTCGCCAACCTGCCTTAGAGCTCATGGTTAGAAAATGTGTTTTGCCCTATTTACTTCACTGGGTCTGAAGGTTTTATTTAGTCCTTCAGTGTGAGCACACGCAAGCGTTCTGCTAGGCGCCGATAGTCTAGTCGTTAGGTAATAAAAACGAGTAATAACTGGCTCTTAAATCGCACTTATTTGTGCCACCTTTTGAAGTGCTTTGCAGCAAGATAACTAAAGTATGTTCCTCTCAGCAGCCCTGTGAGCAAGGTGTTTATTCCAGCACGTGCCCTGTTCATGTTTGTCACTGTGCCCATCCCCTGCAAGAACACCTAAAGCCTGCTAGTTGTGGAGGTGCTCAATAAAAGTTTCTGTTTCAACGGAAAGAAAGCAAGTATCCCAAGAGTCGGCAGGGACACAGCAATGGGTGACCTGATCCCTTTGTCTGTATTTATCCTGTGTTCGTTGTGAGAAAGTTCTTTAGAACAGACATCTGCCTTCTGACCCCTTAATCCGGGTTTGAAGTCTGCCCTTCCTGCCTCCCTTCCTGCCTCGCCCCCTGTAAAGCCACCTCCCGGCTGGCTACTCCTGACAACAAATACTCTGTACACTTTCCACATCTCAATCCTGTCAGTCCGCCTTCCTCACTTGCTCTCTCCCTCACGCTGGCCTCTCTAACCCAGGTTTGTTCTGGTCTGAGTCACTGGAAAGCCTCCTAGCCCTTTCATGTTACAGTGTTTGCCTCTTCAAACACAGCTTTCATCAAACCTACCTCCCACCCCCAGGAGCACTTTAATTGACTTCCTTTTGCCTGGATTCTGATTTAGCTTCCTTAACAGGGACCTTAAAGTCAGCTTCATCCACAGCCTCATCTAACGTTACAGCGCCTTACTAACTCCACCCGGAAGAGTGGGGTTACCTTCCTTCTGAAACTTCCTCACACAAACCTTCTCCTCCTCTGGGCTTTTCCTCCCCATGTTTCTGCGGCTCTCTATTTTTCCTTCTGAACCCCATAGTGTGTCCACCATTAGGCTTTTTACTCTGCCTTCCGTAGTTATCTTACTTTTTGTGTGTATCTGGTCCTTTTAAAATGGTTCCCTTAAAGCAGCTACATTGTGTTGCATTGTTTTGTATCTTTGCACCAGCTATGGTGATATACATATAGTAAATGTTCAGTGAATTGTTTTTAAGTAATTGAACAGTTTAGCCCAAGAAATTAAACTAAAAATAGGTCAATTAAAGCTGTTAGATCTCTAGGGAATGAAGTGGAAGCAAATGCAAAACTGCCCTGTAGCTATGTTTCCACAACTCAGGGCTCATAGGGACAAAAAGCGGAAGAAAAAAAAAAATCCTCAGATAAAAATATTACAAACCACTCAAAAACATTCCATTACAAGAGTAAGTGCGCAAAACAGGAGGATTAATACTCATGGGAACTTGATGTAATAAGCAATCTGAAAGAAACTTTAAGGGGAAAACGGTAGTTTTCAAATGAAGGCAAAGATAAAGAATAGAAAGTGCTGAAAAAAATAGAAAAGGACATTGTGAAAAAAGAAGAGGTATATTTGGAAAGGAATCAAATAGCTCATCTAGAAATGAAAAGTATACTCACTGAAATGATTGAAAGAAAATCTTGCTCAGTATTCCCTCTACTGAGCAACCTGGCAGTATGTACTCAGAGCTATGAAGCAGTTAGCTCTGGGCTGGTTAGTGCCTCCCTGTGACTGCCTCCTCACAGGGCTTACCGTGCAGCACTGTGGCTGCCTGCTTTCCTGTCAGTCTCCTCATTAGACTGTAAGTTCTTGGAGTCCAGGGACTATCCTATTCATGGTTGGCACAGTGCCTGGCACGTGGTAGAAGCCCACTAAATATTTGCTAGAAAATGAATGAGCAAATATACTTTTAACAGTTGTACAAAGTTATTTATGGTAGCACCACTTAAAGAATGAAAACTTGGACTTCCCTGGTGGCACAGTGGTTAAGAATCTGCCTGCCAATGCAGGGGACACGTGTTTGATCCCTGGTCCGGGAAGAACCCACATGCTGCGGAGCAACTGTGCCCGTGCGCCACAACTACTAAGCCTGCGCTCTAGAGCCTGCGAGCCGCAACTACTGAGCCCACTTGCTGCAACTACTGAAGCCCACACACCTAGAGCCCGTGCTCCGTAACAGGAGAAGCCACTGCAAAGAGAAGACCGCACACCGCAACGAAGAGTAGCCCCCGGTCACCACAACTAGAGAAAGCCTGCACGCAGCAATGAAGATCCAATGCAGCCAAAAATAAATTAAAAAAAAAAAGAATGAAAACTTTAGGGGGCTTCCCTGGTGGCGCAGCAGTTAAGAATCCACCTGCCAATTCAGGGGACATGGGTTTGAGCCCCAGTCCGGGAAGATCCCAAATGCCATGGAGCAACTAAGCCCACGTGCCACAGCTACTGAGCCTGTGCTCTAGAGCCCACGAGCCACAACTACTGAGCCCATGTACCGCAGTTACTGAAGCCCGTGTGCCTAGAGTCCATGCTCTGCAACAAGAGAAGCCACCGCAATGAGAAGCCCGTGCACTGCAACAAAGAGTAGCCCCCACTCGCCACAACTAGATAAACCCCGCGCACAGCAACAAAGACCCAACGCAGCCAAAAAAATAAAGAAAGAAAATTTAAAAAAAAAGAATGGGAACTTTAGGAAGACCCATATGCCCCAAAGTAGGATCAAACAAACAGTAGAGAATTAACAAGAAATATTACTCTTGGGAATTCCCTGGCGGTCCAGTGGTTAGGACTTGGTGCTTTCACTGTCGTGGCCCAGGTTCAGTCCCTGGTTGGGGAACTAAGATCCTGCAAGCCTCGTGGTGCAGCCAGGAAAAAAGAAAAAAAAAGAAATAAAGAATACTGTTGAGAATTGCCAGGTATATAGATCACCAGTCCCCGGGATCCTGTGGGGAACTACTGTTACAATGAAAAGAGAGAATACAAAATAGTAAGTACCCATTGTTGCAACTAAGTTGACATCACACAAACCAGGTCAGGAAGGAACTTGAGGTGATGCCAAGGCCAGCATGAGAGTTCAGGCCTCACCTGGGGAAGCGCAGGTGTCAGAATTTATCCTGGTATAAAGAAGATGGGTTTGTCTGGATGCAGGCTCCCTGTTGACTAGTTCTGAGCAAGAACGTTCTGGCTGCTGCCTCTGTTCACCTGCTTGCCTGGGGTAGGGGTGGGGAGCACTGGCCTTCCGTCTGTACTGAATTCCTGGGGTCCCATACTCACCTTAACTCAGGAATCACCTCTTGTCCTAATTAGGCTAAAAGAAGGTACATTATAACTGTCATCATCTCAGGAATTCTGGCATATCGTGCAGGTCACCAGATGTATTGGCATGCGAGATCACTAAGCCTTCTGGGAGAAACATGGAAGACAGCTAAGGGACCAATAGGTCCCAAGGCCTTGGGATGAAGCCTACAAGAGTGAAGACGGGGAAATGGGGCCTCTACACTCTGGGGAGACATGGTGTGTCACGGTGAGCACAGTACTCACCCCAGCGTCAGAAAGGATGAAATGCCTGGTTGGTGTTCTGCTCTATCGTCCTCCTCTTGGTGGAGAAAGGTGAGTCCATTTAAATCTCTTGTGCCCAATGTCTGTTTATCCTGAGAGGTGGGAAGAAGTTTTCTTCTCCTGCAGTGAAAATCAAACATTAATGGGCCATTGCCCCAAGTCTGGGTGAGTTTGGGGATTAAGACGATATCAAGACTTTTCATTCAGTGGAAGAATATTTAGCACTGAAAAGACATGAGCTATTGATATGGGCAATGACATGGGTGAGTCTCAAAAACATTATTCTAAGTGAAATAGTCCAGGCAAAAAAGAGCACATGTTGTATGATTCCATTTATATGAAGTTGTAAAACAGGCAAAATTAATCTGTGGGGATAAAAATCAGAACAGTGGTTACCTATGGAAGAATGACTGGAAAGAGGCATGAGGAACTTTCTGGGAGGAATAAAAGCATTCTTCATCTTGACTAGGGTGGTAGTTATGTGAGTAGGTACACTAGTAAAAGCTCACCAAACTGTACTCTTAAAATCTGAGCATTTTCTTGTAAGACCGTTATTCCTTAATTAAGGAAGAAATATTTCAGGACTAAGATTCTTGTTTCCTTTTAGTGGGTATCTAAGGGTTTTAAAGGGTCAAAATGTCTATTGCACACATTCATGTGAATTCTTACATAACTAGAAAAACAAAACTATTCCCTTCTCCACTGCTTCCCTATCAGCCTGTGGCAGAGTCTGTATCCTTATGTGCAGTGGTGTGCTGCTAAGTGTTTAATAACTGGCTTTCTAGGAAAAGAAAAGCCCTGATTCGTAGCACTTGCTGATTCACGTAATGTAAATATTCTCACCATGGCTGATTTCATGCTGCTAGTGAGATGTCACTGAGCACAGACTTGGGAAGAAATGGGTACAGTTGACTTTCGCAAGCCAGTAGGAGCCAGCTCCAGCACACCCTTGCGGCAAGCCTTTATTGCAAAGCTTCCGGGGAGTCTTGGCGGAGCTGAGGGAGCAGCTGTTAAGCGGTGTGAGGCTCTGAGGTGAGCAGCCATTTCCTATTAGCTTGAACGTGAAGGATGGCAGGAAGGAAGGGACACTGCTCTCAAGTGGTCGTGTAAATACAACCCCGTTGTAAGAGGGGTCAGCCTTGCAAGATATGGCAGTTCAGCAGCTGTATAACTGGGGTTAGCAATCTGCTGGCAGCATTTGGATTTTCAAGTGAAAATATGGGTTATTTCGTTTAAAATTCCTGAATTCTCTTGGGGAGAACAAAGAGCAAAATCCTGTACCAGGGAGACACAAGAGGGAAGAGATATGGGAACATATGTATATGTATAACTGATTCACTTTGTTATAAAGCAGAAACTAACACACCATTGTAAAGCAATTATACCCCAATAAAGATGTTAAAAAAAAAAAAAAAATCCAGTACCGGAGGGCCTGCACTCCCTCCTGACAAGAACAGGTTGTAACAGGATAAAAGCTGCCCCCGTGAGAAGGGCATGGGTTCTCCACCCATCTCTGCATCTCAACAACACACCTGCTGCAACCAGGGGTTTGCCTACATGGCTCTAGTTGGAATTTGAGTTTCTAAATCCTGGTTTAGATTGTGTAGTCTCTAAGAATTAGTTTGGTTTCTGGTAGAACTGTGTGTGTGTGTGTGTGTGTGTGTGTGTGCGTGCGTGCGTGCGTGCGTGCGTGTGTGTGTGTGTAGACTGTTAACCTGCTGGGTGAGCTCAAGAATATCCATGCACAGCTACAATCCTCCCAGTTGGAGGAACGAGACTTGGCATCTTAGGGTACTCACATTCACTCTGGGTGCTCTTGAGACACCAACAGACAACAGAACCTGGCCAGGGCATTGCCTGGACCCCTGATTCCCAATTCTCACTGAACATTAGAATCACTAAAGGAGTTTAAAAAAAAAAAAAAACTCAGCCTAGACAGTTGACTAAGAATCTCCGGGGATAGAGTCTGGAAATCAAAATGTTTTAGGGAAGCTCTACAGATGATCCCAATATGTTTTTTGGATTTTTTGTTTTTGTTTTTGTTTTTTTTAATGAAGGCACCAGTTAAAGGTGCTTTTTCCTTGGACCAAAGGAAGAGTCACATGTAGCATCCAGCTTAAGTTCTCTTTCCTCCTCAGGTTGTAGTTCCCAGTCCTTCCTATAAGAAAGGGGCAGGACAGTGAGAGAGGTGTGGCTTGCTCACCCCCACCGCTTCTGGGGACCAGGTAGAAGTTGCATCTCGTTCAGAAGACTAGGGCCAGGGTTCCAGCAGGGACTAGAGGCAGAATGAACTTTGGCTCGCAGTGAAGCTGGGTGCCCTGTGAGAGTTCAGAAGGGACAGAAAGTAAAAATGCCCCTTGAGTCCTTCAACCAATATTTATTGAGCACCTACTATGTGCCAAGCATTGTTGCAGTTACTGGGGATATAGCAGTAAGCAAAATAGACAAAAATGCCTGCTTCATGGAGCTGGCATTCTAATGGGGGAGACAATAAACATAATAAAGAAATCAGTATATGAGAAAGAGATAAGTGAGAAAAATAAAGCAGAGGAGGGGGACTGGAAATATGTAGTGGTATTACAATTTGGGGAGTATATGGGAGTGAGGAAAGCCCTTGGTGAGAAGCTAACACTTAAGCAAAGATTTAAAGGAGGCGAGAGGGTGAGCCAGGCGGGTATATGGCAGAAGAGAGTTCTAGATCGAAGGAATGGCACATGCAAAGACGCTGAGGTGAGAGTTTTTCTGGTAGGTTGGAGGGCAGAGAGGAGGTCAAGTCCCTAGAGCAGAGTGAGGGGGGGATAGTGGTGGAATTGAGGTCAGGGAGTTGGGCCTTGTAGGCCATTGTCTGTGGACTTGGCTATGACACCCAATGACACATAAATTGGAGAGATCCCTAATGTAGACCAGACAAAGGTGGCCCTTGAAAAGTGTGGGGAAACTGAGGCTAGAGTCACGGACATTCAGTCAGCTTTCTTTCTGATTTGCCCTATGGGGGACTGGGACTGTGATGGGGGGGTCACTGAACCCTGAGATGGGTGGAAAACTGCAGGGTGTATGTATGTGTCACCCTGAGGGGCTGGGGCTTGGGGGAGGAGGCGGGACAGGGCTGGGGCTTGTTGGAACCTGGTCAAGGTGGAGGGCAGACGATGGAGGAAAGAGAACCAACCCTACACTCTTCCACGACCCCTTCCTACATGCTCAGAGTGTCCTACTCCCTATTCAGGAAAGATTTGTGGAGGGCCTGCTATGTTGCAGGCACTGTGCTAACTTCTGGGACACAGAGACACATAAGCCAAGGTCCTGTCCCCTCAGGGTCTTGTAAAGTCTGCAGCCTCTGGCACGATTTTAAGAGTGTCATTTGTCACATTCCCTCACGTTCCTAGCACTGGGGCCGTTTGCTGAAAGGAAAGAATGAAGAGAGAATCCTAGTGGGAAGAAAGAAGGAATCATGCAGCTCTTTGATGGGAGAAATGGATTTTAGTGGTTCGTTATGTAACAGTTCTCCCAGAAGTATGCAAAAGAGGAGCTCTGCGACAGAGAAGATGCGCTGATGGTGGATCTCCGGCGAGTGGAGAATAACTCCTGCTGGCGTGTGGGGAGATGGGCAGCAGTAGCTCAGGCGGGGAAGTGCTCATGGGAGAAAGGTCACCGGTGGGCAGGGCAGCTGGCTGTGCGGAAACAATCTGTTCTTTCTCCACTCGAAACCTGTCGATTCTCTCCAAGCTGCTCATGTTTCTCCAGCAGGCCTCAAGAAAGGCCCACAGCTGTTTGAAGATAAAAGGAGCCTGACCTAGGGTGTGAGGCCCCACCTGCTGGCCGTGTGCTCTGAGAAGCCGCCGCCTAGCACCATTCCTGGGCTTGGGCCTTCCCTTGCTGGCTCCCATCTGGCGCCTCCCTGCCCGGTCCCCGTTCCGGGGGTGTGGGCGTAGCTCGGCCTCCTGCGTGTTCCCTGTTAGGCCAGCCCTGCTGCTGCTTCACCCACCTGGCTGGCTCCTCATTCCGGCTTTCCCAGGACACCACCCTAGGTCCCACCTGAGGCCAGCTTCTGGTGACCTTGAGGCCTTCTTGAATAGCAGGACGGGGCCAGGGCCTGCCACAAGGCTGGCCCAATCCCTGAGAGTACCAAGTCTGAAACTAGATCATTCACACGCCGAAGAAGAAGAAAGAGTTGTTTATGTTCCTCACTGACGTCCTCCTGGCCACCCACGTCAGGACTGATACGTTTGCTGTCTTGTCTTTCAGGCCTCTGCACCCCTAGAACGGACCTTCCCCTGGCTCACGTGGAGGGAGGTCGATTTTGCCACCCTGTGTTCCTCAAGGCGCTAATGGGCTCTGAATAATCACACCCCATGGACTGACAGTACAAATTAGGAACACCCAGAGCACAAAGGGGCGGGGGGCACACAGAAGGGGAAATACGGGAAGCTTCCTGGGAAGGTGAACAGCAGGAAGCAGGGCTGCCTGAGCCTGGCACCCAGGCCTGCTGATGGGCAGCCGGCAGCACCAAGCTCTCCCAGAAGATAGGAAGATAAATGCCAGAGGGACTGAACGGGAAAATGCTGGCTGTTTGGAGGAGGGGACAGAGGAGACTAATCTATGAGGGAGGCGAACTTTTTTCATCTCTCCTCCTCCAAGCCAGGGACTGCTGAGGAAAGCCCACCCCTCCACTGGCACTGGTGGTGTGGCCTCTGCTCATCGCATGCCTACCCAGACAGCCCACACCCCCAACCCGGTCAGGGCCTCCCCAAGCCTCGAGCCTCCTAGGGGCTAGAAGACTGAGGGGGAGGGGGAGACTGCGAGGGGAGGAGCGGCAAGGGCTGCACCAGACACGGGAGCAGGTTTCAGCCAGCTGCCGGCATCTCTCCTGGATCCGCGTCATCCCTCACTCACAGGCCTGTCTGTCACAGGCCATTAAGTTCTTGGCAGGTGCTATGTTAGGCTGAGGCTGCAGGCCAGGCTGGGGGCAAGGGGGTCCCAGGGAACAAGCCAGCCTGTCCTCTCTGGGCCTTGGCTCACTGGGGATACATGCTCCTCTGGGGAGTCCTCACTCT